TTTCCTGGTGGCTCAGATCGTAAAGAGTTTGCCTGCAATGCAGGAGACCTGGGTTTGATCCCTGGGTTGGGAAGATTCCCCTGGAGAAGGAAAAGGTAGCCCACTCCAGCACCCTTGCCTGGAAAATCTCATGGAGAAAGGAGCCTGGTAGGCTACAGTCCATGGGGTTGCAAAGAGTCAGGCATGACTGAGTAACTTCACTTTCTAGTCTATTACTTGGGGTATACTTTCTGCCAGAAGATACTCTTTTTTTTTTTTTTGTAATTTGACATGCTACTTTTCTTAACTTCTTCTCTGTTTTCTTTTTGCTTGTGATTTTTAATGGTATCATGAAATTTATTTTTCATTTTATTCATCTTTCACATTGGCTATGCTATCTGGACACTTTCTTCGTTCAAATACAGACTATGCCGATTCTTCTTGATATCTTGCCTGACTTAGTGGAAGTGTATTAGTGTCTTCTGCTGGAGGTTCCCTTTGGGAACTGGTTATTATTGGTGTTTGTTTTCTTAAGGAGCTTCAGATGCAATTGTGACTGTTTTGATTGATGGATGTTTCCTTACAATTTCATATAACTGCATTATTATAGAAGAGTTTCTGCTGACTAGTCCAGGGTGTACCCTTCTTATGTGGGCAGAGAAGTTGATGTTTATGTTGGATGGTTCTCCGCATACAGACACAGGCTGACAGACACCACAGCTTCATCTCACTGTTCTCTTTTCCTCCCCAACCAGAGGAGAGGTACACGAGGACTTTTATTGTTTGAACAAGCATCATGGCATTACGTGTGCATGCTCAGTCATGTTGATCCTTTGTGGCCCCATGGACTATAGCCTGCCAGGCTCCTCTGTCCATGGAATTATTCAGGCAAGAATACTGGAGTGGGCTGCCATGCCCTCCTCCAGGGGATCTTCCCGACCCAGGGATCGAAACTTCATCTCTTGCATCTCCTTCATTAGCTGGCGGATTCTTTACCATTAGCACCACCCGGGAAGCTGTTGGAAAAAAGACCAGGTAGAACTCCTTTTTCTGCCTCCTTCTGAACTCTTTCCTTTCCCAAAGGACAGCCAAATCTTAACAGGTTTTGTCATATTTTATTGTCAATTGTAATGGAAATAGTTATGATCAGTCTGTTTCCATGCTTGCCTCCTCTAAGTTTAGGAAAAAATTGATGGGAAATAAGTTGTTCCATTCTTTGGAAACTTTCCCACCTGTGGTGCTGAGAAAAGGCTTTTAATTTGGAGAAGGTATTCACGAAATTACTCCAGATGGCCTTCCATATTGGAAGAAATAAAGACAATATTGCAGGATTTTGACTGTATGTGTCCTCTAACATCTTATATATTCTTGAGGAATAGGAAACTATTTGCATTTTATTTTCTAAATTACTCTGTCATTCTGTTTCAAGATTATCTTCTTCAAAATGAGTAACAATAAACTATGTGCCACCTATTTTTGTATACTTATTTATTTATTTGAACCTTTTATTATGTACTGGGATATAGCCAATTAACAATATTGTGATAGTTTCAGGTGAAGAGCAAAGAGACTTAGCCATATGTGTGTGTGTGTGTATATATATATATATTCTTCCCCAAAGTCCCCTCCCGTCCAGGGTGCCACATGTCTTTGACCAGAGTTCCCTGTGTTATACAGTAGGTCCTTGTTGGTTACCCAATTTAAAAATAGCAGTGTGTATGTGACCACCCGAAACCCCTCCACCCCAGCAACCATAAGTTTGGAAAGACTGATTTTTTAAAAAATCTTTATCCTCCTTACTGTTTTTCTTATTCTGCTTTGGATTGGGAGCTTTGCAGTCCTTCTTTGAGTCATACTATTCTCCAAAATCCCTCACTATCTTTCATTCTGTCTACCGAGTCATCTAACCTGAATCTCTGTATTTGCATATAAAATAGTCAAATATATCCCTTTAATATGGTTTTCTGTCACTCACAATTTATGATCTATTTTGTTTTCTTTTGTTTTGATTCACAACCTTTCTTCTCTGGACAGCCATCTTTCTTATCTGTTAAATATTTACTTGATTATTATGTTTTCCAGCCTAATATTCTTTCTTTAAAATTTTACAGTCTACCCCGGTGCCCCATATCTACTGCTCTGTACAAATTAACCCACACTTAGTGATTTTAAACTAACAATAACCATATCATTACTGATTCTCACAGCTCAGCGGGATGACTGACACATCTCCCTTGATGTCCCTCGTTTAGTTTCAGAGAACGAGGCCAGATTATCTGAAGGTTTGCCCACTGGCATCCAGCTGAGCTGGGAAGAGGTGCATATCTGGGAGTTGTGACAGCTGGAGCTCTCTGGACATCTCTCTCTATTACTAAGTGGTCCTGTCATGGAGTTTCTCCAGCACTGTGGCTTTGAGGGCCACGCAGTCCTTCCCAGTTTCAAAAGGACAGTAAATAGACTCCACTTCTTAACTGGGACATTGCAAAGTTCTTGAAGAGTATATTGGACTGTACCTATTAGTGTGATCTGTCCACTTGGCCTTTTTAGCATGCAGGCTTCAGGAGAGCTGAAATTCTTATACAGTGGATCCAAAGTGAGTTTCCCAAGAGAAGTAGATACAGAGAGAGAGGCAGAATCTGTACTCCTCTTCTAATTCTAACTTCCAGAATCCCACATGTCACTTTCAACATCTTCCACTGTTGGGCCAGCTTTAAACACCTGCCAAGCTCCAAGGTGACGTGGCTCTATTTCTTGATATGAGGAAGAACATGCAAGACCAGAATCATGTGAGGCCAATTCATGTGGCCATTTTTGGAGAATATAGGGCAGTGCAAATCGCTCAGTCATATCCAACTCTTTGCGACCTCATGGACTATACAGTCCATGGAATTCTCCAGGCCAGAATACTGGAGTGGGTAGCCTTTCCCTTCTCTGGGGAATCTTCCCAACCCAAGGATCAAACCCAGGTCTCCCGTATTGCAGATGGATTCTTTACCAACTGAGATATCAGGGAAGCCCTTGGAGGATATAATCCACCACAAATATCAGGAATTCGATTTTTTTTTTTCCTAAAAGTAAAGCAGTGGGGCAGAAGTAGATTGAAAGTGAGAATGGGGAAGGTATGGTGAATCCCATCCAGAAAGATAAAGATAAGCTGAGACCTCTCAGAAGGGAGTCAGAAACACCAGGCCAGGGATTACAGCTGTAAAGATTTCAAAATTTCTAAATCTCAGACATTTCCTCTGTGTGTTGCCGTTGCTGACAACCCTCAGACGTGACTTCAGGAGAGACGAGGAAGAGTGTCAGCTATTGACTGATTTCATGCTACAGCTATTTATAGAGCTAGATCCTCAAAGGAGAGCCCAAGGGGTGTCTGGTCTCCAAGGCAGTGCAAAGAGCAAACTCCTTGATCGCGCAGCAAAGAATCACAGCGCAGGACTGCAGACAGTCAGGACAACCATGCAACCACGAAGAGGCGGCTGGTGGGGCGGGCTCTGGCTTTGGACTGTTTAATCTTTACAGCAACCCCAGGAGAAACCTTTCTGTGGCATAGATGAGAAAACTGAGGTTCCGGGTTTGATCAACCTCACTCTACTACGAAGCAGAAAACCAGGACATGACACCACACAAGTCTGTCCCAGAAGGCTGCGATCTTTCACAGCGGGGCAGGGGCAGGGGTCCAGGAGACCACAACCTCTCCACTCTTCAAGGGCAGATTCTTGCTCCCTCCCTGGGCACAAGAAAGCAGACACCAATAAAGATGCATAGAGGCTGGTCTGAAGGCAGGAACATTGCTCCTTTCTTCACAAAGCACTTACAATTAGAGCCAAATCCTTTCCAACTCTTCTTCTATAATCAGGGAGAGGGTGGTTTCTGCTGTTGTTTAGTTTATTTCTGGCTAGCAAAATCCTGACATTAATTACTCTATAGGAATGGAAATGGTCCATCAGTGACTTGTGCCTCTAACCTCTGCTAGGCTCTTCAACTTCCATATTTATTAATAACATTTTACAGCATCTATTTAAGGTAGTATGTATCCCAACTGGCTCAGTGGTAAAGAATCTGCCTGCTAATGCAGGAGATGCAAGAGACAAGGGTTCGATCCCTGGGTTAGGAAGATTCCCTGGAGGAGAAAATGGCAACCCATTCCAGTATTCTTGCCTGCAGAATTCCATGGACAGAGGAGGCTGGTGGGCTACAGTCCATGGAGTTGCAAAGAGTTGGACATGACTTAGTGACTGAGCACACATGTGTTTAAAGTAGTAGTTATTTACTGCATCTTTCCAGGTGAGGAAGCTAAGCCTCAGAAATGGTATCACCTTGTCAATTTCACATAAATAGCTAGTGGAAGACTCAAGACTTTAGCCCAGATTGTCTGGTTGAAAACTTATTTTGGGGTTTCCAAATGTGCTTTGAAAGACTGCCCAGGCTGGAAGGGGAGAGACTAAAAGATCTCTTGACATCTGAGAAACTACTAGATAGACCTGGGCCCCTTAAACCCTTTGGCTGTACTAAATGTTTGAGGGTGTCATTAGCAAGAGTCAGTACAGTATTCGACCATCCTTAGGAAGCTGGGGTTATGTAATGTGCCAGGTAGAGTTATTAATCAGGGATTTAGAAATCTCTGTATAGATTGGTTTTCATCCAAATGTTTTAAAGCAAATAATTTCAAATAACTCTTTACTGTTACATCTATAAGTTGATACATCAAGTTAAGTGCTTAACACACTCAATATCCATCCATCTTCACAATGGCTCCACAACATGGTAAACTATCCTCAGGCTCCAGGTGTGAAAACTAAGGACCAGAGAAGTTAAGTAACTCTCCACCTTCGAGGGTTGCACAGCTAATTCTGGGGGAGCCAGAATGAAGATGCAAGTTTGCTCAACTCTGATACCTGTGGTCCTTCTGCAGTTCCCCAATTCCGTTGGGAAGAGTCCTTCTTTAATCCCCCTCATATTTAATGAAACATGTGTGCCTCCTTGTCTTTTCCTGCAGGATGTTTTTTTTTTTCCAGAAATCCATGCATCTTTGTTTCCTGGGAGTCACTTCCTCCTGATTTATGACTCAAGTTTTCAGATCATTTGCCCTCCCAAGACCTTCATTAGGGAATGCAGGGCAGGGAGAGTTCTAGGTACAGTTAAAAAGGATTTTTCCCCTCTTCCTATTTTTTGCTTTTATTTTTAACCGTGCTTCTCTCTGACAGGAGCTCTGTTTGTCCTGACTTGTATCTGATATCATGAGTCACTGGGGAGATATAATATGCTGATTGCCAAACCAGGTTATTGGGGTTTTTTTTTTCTTTTTCTATGACTCATTCTCTTCAAAATCTCTAATTTATGATAAAAGTCAGTAAGGTGGAAGCACAGAAAATGTTTTGAGTGGGTTGTCTTATTATGTTTGGGCCACTTTGTCTCTTTTGACTCTCTGGTGAACAGCATAAATCGGCACATAGGGGTGAAAGCCAGTGGTCAGTCACAGCAGGAATAGACAGGGTGACCTCTGAGGAGCAGCAGAGCTGGATTCAGAGGCTGAGTTCAACTCACAGCCTGGAAGAAAGAAGACAAGAAACCCTTTAATGAGATATTACTAATATTTCCATATGTGGGCATCTGAAGGGCAAAGATCAATGAAAAAAAAATTTTGAGGTACCACGTTTCTAGTGAAGAAAAACTAAGCTGTCATCCTCTTAAAATACAACTGGAAAATGAAGCAAACTCAGATACAAAATAGGAGCAGCATTCAATAAGATTGCAAGGTAAACTAAGAAAATGTACTCGGGGATGGAGAGCGATGGGAAGCTTTTTCTTGTCCACTTTACTACTTAAAGAATCAGAATGTTAGGTCAGGACAGGATCTTGAAGGTTTCACCCAATGCATGGCCACCTCCTGCAGCCCCTTGGACCCGGGCAGCCTCTGCATGATGGTCTCCTGTCTAGGGGGGCTTACTACATGCTTAGGTAAACATCATCAGAAATTTGCCAATGATGCAATAACACTGTGCCCCGATCTCTCCCAGGAATCAAATGCACATGTGACATCCTTGTCTCTGAGCTGATTGGGTCACAGGAAGACAAACTCCTCACTCAGCCCCACCCACTGTTTCCCTGGTGCCCCAACCTTGCTCTAAGCATCTTCCCTGAGTCTGGGCAGTAGCCTGAGCACAAGAAATCAGGCAGCTTCTAAGCAGCTACAGATGCAGCCTTTTGTCCCTGGGTTGTGTTTAGGAGTCAGCCTTTACCAGGAGCCATGTCCTGTCAGTGCCAGAACTGGGGGTTTTCCCAAAGACCCAGGAGAAGCACCTCTTCCTGAGCTGCCACAGTGCTGTAGCTGGTTAACCTGCACCCCTCTTCCAATTTAAGTGGTTTCCTGCTGTTATAGGTTGATTGTATCACCCACCCCAAAATCTATATGTTGAAATCTTAAACCCCAGTGTGACTGCATTTGGACACCTGGTGGCTCAGTGTTAAGGAATCTGCCTGCCAATGCAGGAGACACAGATCTTGCCCTGGGTCAAGAATATCCCCTGGAGGAAGAAATGGCAACCCACTCCAGTATTCTTGCCTGGGAAATCCCATGGACAGAGGAGCCTGGTGGGCTACTGTCCATGGGGTTGCAAAGAGTCGGACGTGACTAAGTGACCAACAACAACAAGTTTAAGGGAGTAATTAAGATTAGTAAGGTCATGAGAGTGGGGCGCTTACCTGATCAGGCTGGTGTTTCTGAAAGAAGAGGAAGAGACACCAGAAATGTATGTGTCTTGAGGAAAGGCCATGTGTGCTAGGCCTTGAAGGGTAAGTAAGAGTTCATGGATGGAGAAGAGAGAGACCAGTGTCTGAGGATGAGGAGCCGTGTGTGAGGCCACGGGGAGATGTGGGAACATGAGGCATGTCTGAGGAGGGCAATTGCGCTGGCCTGGAGACAGGTCGTGGTTCTGGTTTATGAGAAGGATCTCTGGTCGCTGGCACCACAGAGGCCATGATTCCTGCAGGTTTGCTTCTAGCAAACTTCTCTCCAGATGGGGAAAGAGCAGTTCCTGGGCTCTTTGAGTCCACATTTCTGCTGAGAAAAGTCTTAATACCTGACAAATGAAAGGCATAATCGTTTTTTAACCAGCAATTTACCTGGAGTGGGAGAGGGAGGCCTGGGAAAAACAGTTTCCTCCCTCCCTCTCCTAAGTGTAGGCTTCATTGAAACAGCACCAAAAATAAAGAAATTAAACTTTGCCTTTTGTTGATAGGCTCTTACTGACAATTCCACCATCAGATCAAAGACTCAGAGAGGAGAGCTATGCCATGTTTTAAGATCCTTTATCTGATAAACAACAGAACACGGATTCAGTCTCAGATCTTTAATTCTAAAACTATTCTCCTCAAACATGTTCCCCCTCTCAGATGTTGAATTTTTATACAGAAATAAGAGCAACTAAGTATATTACAATAACTTATTTTTCTGACCTTAGGAAAATGTCCAACAATTGCCTACATTACCTATGGAATAAACAGTTCACCTTGGAACTGTGGACTCTCACCTCCCTGAGCAAGTTAAGTCATTACTTTCAAGGGAAAAGTGCACATTTATGCTTTGAGAAATAATGTACTCAAAGTGGCTAACCCTGCACCTTATATACAATAATTTCTCAGTAAATGTTAGGCATTATTAATATGAATAAAAACATATTCTCCTAATTGTGTGTTTTTATATATATAACATATACACAATTGGGAAAATGTTGTTTTTCCTAATATGTGTGTGTGTGTGTGTGTGTGTGTGTGTGTGTGTGTGTATAAAAAATGTGGGCTTCCATAGTGACTCAGTGGTAAAGAATCCACCAGCAATGCAGTAGACACAGGAGACACAGGTTCAGTCCCTGGGTTGGGAAGATCCTCTGGACGAGGGCATGGAAAACCACTCTAGTATTCTTGCCTGGAGAATCCTCAGGGACAGAGGAGCCTGGTAGGCTACAGTCCATGGGATCACAAAGAGCTGGACACAGCTCAAGCGACTGAATATGCATGCATATGTTGTGCATTCAGTATAGAAGGTAAATGGGAATTTAAAACAAAGTATTGTTTATATTAGTCAATCCTGAAAAAAATCAACCCTGAATGTTCATTGGAAGGACTGATGCTGAAGCTGAAGCTCCAATACTTTGATCACCTGATGCAAAGAGCCAACTCACTGGAAAAGACCCTGATGTTGGGAAAGATTGAAGGCAAGATGAGAAGGGGGTGGCAGAGGATGAGATGGGTAGATAGCATCATAGACTCAGTGGACATGAATTTGAGCAAACTCCGGGAGATAGTGAAGGATAGGGAAGCCTGACGTGCTGCAGTCTATGAATCCTCAAAGAGTTGGACATGATTTAACAAATGAACAATAATTGTTCATAAATGCATTGATTTAATTTATTCATTTCTTCATTCAGCCAATATTCTCTGAACATCAACATTCTCTAGACATTTCAGATCAAAGCTTAAAGGGTTTACATCTGTAAGCTCCAGAAGGAACTGTGAATCAATCATCCTTTGTTAGCAAGAGTATGGCAAATGGTATAAACTTTGATTATGTCTTCATACAACAACGATTTTGTAAGATTTTCTATAAAGAGAAGGAAAAGATAATCCCATCTTTCCTCTCTTATAGTTGATTGATTCTTTTTAGTTATTAATAGATCAGAAAATCTCTTAGCATTGAAATTCCTTGTCAGTCATGACATGAAAATGTTTACTATTGTCAAATTTGGAAAAGGTACCATCACATTTTTCTTATTTAAAAGATATATATTAATAATTTGGGGTCATTTCAAGTTTTCTTGGCAGTTAGTATTCATACACACTTTGATTGGACATCATTCATTAACCAGTTTGTCACAGCATCTTTGTTGTAATGATGTATTATGGGTTTGTTATTTTTGTGAATGTCAGTTTTTTCATTCAGATCAGCAAAAATTTAAACAGTTATTATAGTAATTCTATTTAATCTAATTTTCTGTTAAAAATGTAGAGTATTTTAATTGTATCTGCTACATTATCAAGTATATTCTTGGAAGGGCAGAACTTCTGTTTCAAATTATCTGCTTATAATTTTGTATATTTGATGATCAGGAGGGTTTTCCACAGATTAGCTTCTGGCTTTATATATTTTGAGGTCTGCTTTTCCCATACTCCCCACATGTTTCTGGTGCTGTGGGGTAAGTTTAAATGGTGAACTAACTTCTGACCCTGCATCTTTGGGTCATGACACTGGATGAATTGAAACCTGGGTAGTAGGAATATTTCTAGACTCCATTCCTACACAAAAATGGTTAGCAGTAACTCAATTGTTCTGGAAATGAGTGTGAGACATAAATTCATTTCAATAAGCCCAAACTGATCCCAACTCAGGTTCTTCCCAGTTAGACCCTCAAAATTCCCACAGTCACTGTAACATCACCCAACACAAGGCAAAACTTGATGGAGAAGGTGAAATGGACAGAAACAATGGTCTTAATTGACTGTGGTTAAAGAACATTAATTTTTGCAAATTTTATAAAACCATATGACTATCTAAGCAAGTGGCCAGGGTCTTTGAAAGCCTGGGGAGGAGCCCAGTCACAAGAGGATGCTGAAGCTTAAATTCCATTAAATGCATGGGAAACACATTCCTGAATCCATGTTTAGAGGCTTTGCAGAGCGAAAGGCAAGTTTACATCATTCTGAAAAGCACTGACTAGGATAATGAGATCATAGGCTAAGCCTCAAACCATGACCCAAGACCTAGATCTTTCTGTAAAAACAAGCACATCTCTTGTCATCAGGAAGCCTGTTAGGGCCTGGAGATAAAATTCACTTCTCTTTCCATGTACTTTTTGGTACCCCAACTGTCAATGTAGAGCTGTGGTCATTTTAACAGTTCTGGGTAAAGAATTACAGCTTTGTGCCCTAAATCAGCCTGCCAAGATGTAGCTAAATCCTCACCTATAGTTCCTCAATGTTGTAATCTGATCAAAAGCAAAGACTTGAAAAAAAATCATGCCCTAAAGTGGCCCAAACTGACTGTAAAACAATCAGACGTCAGTAGGAACATGAGTTGGTCTCTAACTACAGGAGGGTCTGAACGGCTGGCAAAGGGGAAAGACATGCCTGGTGGATGTGCAGAATCACAGCTGATGCTCCCAGGAGCTGTTCCCTTGAGGGCTGTGCTCTCTGAGTTTCCTTGGAGATCCGTCCTCCACACTCCTACCACCAGAGTGGTTTTCAAGAAAAGAAAGTATGACCATCTCACTCCTCTCCTTTAAAACTGGTAATGGTTCCAATGCATGTTAGAATGAAGTCCCAAGAGTTCAGTTGACAGGCAGAGGCTTCTTTGACTGGCCTTTGCCTGACAGCAGTATTCTCTCACATTGCCGGTACCATCACTTCTATATGGGTAGTAATCAGGGGTCTCCAGAAAAAGACTATCATTTATGTTCTATCTATCTATCTATCTATCTGGATTTAAATGAGTCATGGCAATATTCTTCCTAGTTTGATTGCTAATACCTATTTTTGTCCATATCATATTGCTCTGGGCTTTGAGTCTACTTAGGCAGTCTGCAAGTTCCTTTAAGATACTATTAGTCAGTGTCTAGTAACCAACCAATTTAGGTATTTCAAATAGAGAGGATTTAATAGAGGAGAGGTGTTATAAGGACAGAGAAAACAGAAGAGAAAATAGAGGGGGGTGGTGGTGACGGAGCAAAAGGAAAAAATGCTATCACACAGAGCTCAGAGCACGCTGACACTCTTAAGCAGCAGTTATAAGACTATACCTGCCATGGAACTCTTGGGGACACTGTCTCAGCTAACGTTAACTCTGCCCAAGGCAGGGGGCTACTGCTTGGGCCAGGGCTGGAGCTGCAAATAGGTGCTACTTCTGCTTAGGCCACTAAAGCCTGCAGCCCCTTCATTCTCCCAGCCAACTACACCCATCAATGTCTACACTGTCACAGGCACAAGCCTCAGCTTCTCCCCTCGTCTAGTGATCCCCAGCCAGCACTTGCTATCAGCAAGGGAGCTTGGTAATGTCGTTTGCAAACTCCAGGCTTTAGCATACAGGCAAGTGTGTCTTCTTCTACTTCGGAGAGTCTCCAGGAGCCTCTGATCTGGAGAATTTTACTGTTGTCTTCACATGTCTCTTTTTCAGCCTCTTTGTCACAGCAGCAGTAAAAGTTTAAATAAGTTAATCTGTTGCCAAGCAACTCACTTTTGTCTCAGCATACTTCTCATTGCCGGTGGTGGCATTTTTCTATTTCTTCAGTGACAAGGCACTGGCAGGTTTTAAAGAATTATACATACACCTACGATATCCAGAGTTTTTTTTTTTTTTTTTTTTTTTAAGTGCTGATTTTTATTACTTTAGATAGAAGTCTCTCTGAAGCTAAAGAGTGAAGTATATCGCTTTTCAAAATCTCATGTACTTTCAAGGGACCTTGGCTGCACCATATATATTTGCAGGTTTTTCACTTCCTTGTTTTGAAAATGACATAGATTTAGTGCTTTAGATGAAGCTATGAACCCCTCCATCTTATCTCCTTCTTCTTTTTTCTTTTTTCCTGGTGGTGTTTCTCTTGAGCATTAAAAATATTCCAGATTTGTCTTTGCTTCTTTAGGAGAAGAACGCACACCGCTAGCTGATGAAGCAGAGATTGTAGGCATCACCATTCAGTGGCTATTTGGTGTTTCAATTTTTAAAGCTTCAGTTTATTCTTCATTAGGAGAAATTTATACACTTGCACATATACACATATAACTGTGCATTTTTTCGTATCTACCTCCTACCTGTATTCATGGAATGGCAGAGAAAGACATGTGTTAAGTTCACTGTTGCTGATAGGTGTTGTCCTCAGTTTCAGCCCTGTGTGGGTAGTTCATGGATTCCCCTTAGGTCTTATCATGCCCATTTTGTAGATGAAGAAGTGAGGATCAGAGATGCTGAGCAAATTGTCCCAGTCAAATCAGTCATTGTTGGAGAAGGAATGAGGTCAAAGTATGTTAATGTTGAGGTGAGACTCTTTCACTGTCCTATGATGGTGTCCTGGGGCATCTGGGTGCTTGGTTTATGCTCAAGATCATGGTAAAGTTGGTAAACCAAAGATCCTTTTAAAATCTGAGCTTCTAAAGTTTCTATGTCAGTTTCATTTAAAGTTATGATCCTAACCAGAATACTCACTGTGATCCTAGCCAGAATACTTTCACATACCTGGAGAGGATGGTGCTAATGAACAATCACTTGAGAATTCTTATCCTTGCTACAGAATCTATTACCCTGGCAGTTTCAAACTGGGTCTATTTTATGAGTACATATTACAGACACGGTATCAAGCTATGGCTGTAGCAGGTCAGCCCCACGATTGTCCATCCAATGAGATATGTTGACAAAACATTCTAGAATGTAAAAGAGACTACATTGTCCCATTGTCTTCAATATCCACAGACTCACTTAACAATCATGGTATCTTTGACACTAGTCTATCTCCTGTTTGTAATTTTTTCCTCTGCTGCAGCAACTGCATGTTTTGAGAGCAATTTTTAAACTAAGAGTAAGTCATTTCTTTTGTTTTTACTTAAGGGGCTAATCAAGACTTAGGACTGTTAGACCATCTTTTGGTCAAGAGTATTAGACTTCTTCTCTTAACCAAAAGATGCTCTCATGTTCCCTAGGTCTTGATCAGCCCATTAAGTAAAATGGGCATTTTGATCAAGTGTATTAGAATTCTGCACACTTTGAGTGCACACTTTTGAGTCCCTCCTCTTAGACCTGATGCCATCTTTATCTCTAATTCATACCTTTGGAATGCAAAAATGTGAAGTAGGTTCTGCAGAAACAAAAGGCATCAGATGAGTGCCCCTTGGTGTGAAAAACTGTTGTGAAGAAGGTAAGGTTCACATGGTTACAGAGAACACCTTCTCTTCTGCCCTGCTTCTGGGATTTAAGGAAGTTAAGCTGGAGAGTTTTCTCCCATTCTAAATTACCTTAAATATTTCTCATGAAACACTTCTCATTCATAGTGTCTCTTGTGAAACATGTGAAGGAGAATTATTAAAGCATATTGGCACCTTTCATGATGATTATCCACTTGATTCTCATAACAGCTCCTCTCCTTCCAGACTGTAAAATTTGTTAAGGGAAGGAGGAAGTCTCATTGTTTCTTCCTCATCTAGCCCCCTACTCTCCCCCAAAAACCCAGCACAAGCAGGCTTCTTATTGACAGTTTTAGAAGAAGCTAAGAATGCCCTCTCCCTCTCTCCTGCCTCTTCAGATATGCCAACCTGTGGAGAGAAGGGACTTTTAGGGCTTTGCTGTGTCCTGGCACAAAGAGGCCAGTCACAGATAGTAACTGGGTAAGTAAGTCTGTCAAATTCTAGGAGTTATTACAGAAAGTTCAATGTTGCAAAAAGCCCAAGTCATATCCTCCATCTTGGTCTTTCTCACTGTATTTTGATTTTCACTTCCCTGGGTCCTACGGCTAGCTCCCAGTTGCTTCACAACTTTGTCAAAGAGACAGTTAACTATTGACTTCTTCAACTCTGAAGTGCCAACTACAAGCCCATCATAAACTAATTGCATACATTCACTAATTTATTGCTTATAAAAGTTCTGGAGGTTACAAATGGGGAGATGATGCTTGAAAAAATTAAGAAAAGCAAGTTTGCTAGAGTTAAATGACTAATTAGTGGCTGATCCAAGAGTACAGGGCTGTTTGACTCCAAATTTCACACTGTTTGTACCACCATACAGGATTTTGGTAATTATTGCCTTTGTCCCACTTCCATCTCTTCAAATGTAATTCTTGGTAAACCTAGTCACTTCCCCAGGTGTGATAAAAGAAAGTCTCCTCTGAGGTCAATTCTAGATACTTACTTTCAACACTATTTTCTTTCCACTGGGCAGAGAATACAAAGAATCAAGAGGCCTTCAACTTCTGCAGCTCATTCATTCTGTGAATCAGCTAAGATCTCCTCTTTACTTTTCTTCATAACAAAGGACCTGTTTACATCACAGTGTTTCTTTCTCCTGTGGGAGGAAGCAGATTCTGGGGGTGGGGGTGGGGGGTGGGAAGGAAACCCTCAGCAGGAATGGAGTGATCTCTTCTAGTCCATTGCTATGACTGAGGTTGCACATTTCTATCCATTCATTTATTAACCTCTTTTAATTTATTTTTTAATTGGAGGATAATTGTTTTAAAATATTGTGTCGGTTTCTGCTGTACAACAACACGAATCAGCCACGTATGTACATACATTCTTTCACTCTTGAACCTCCCCTGCAATCCCCCATCTCACCCCTCCCAGTTGCCACACATATTGAGTCTTTTTAGTGGAAAATATTCTGTAAATGCCAAACTAAAACTCTAATATGTTATGGACTAAATGTTTGTGCCCTCGCCCCTGAATTTATATGTTGAAATCTCACCCCACACCACTGTGATAGCATTAGGAGCTGGGACCTTCAGGAGATAATTAGGTCATAAAGGTGGGGTCCTTGTGAGTGAGATAAGTGCTCTTATAAGTGGAACCCCAGAGAATTCTTTTGCCTCTTTTCTTCTGCCATGTGAGGACAAAAGGGGTTAATTGGCTGTATGCAACCAGGAAGAGGGTGCCTCTCGCCAGACCGCAACACTGCTGGCACTCTGCTCTGGCCTCCAGAACTGTGAGGAAACAAATATTGTTCATAAGCCACTCAGTCTATGGCATTTTGTTACAGCAGCAAGAACTGACTATATCAGGGCAAGCAACTTTCCCAATTATTTCTATTCATTGTCTTTAGATTCAAATAGAATCTGAGCATAATTTCTAAATCTTTGACAAATAGCTTGTCAAAGACAGGTAAGATTCTTGACAACTTCTTCATGAAAATGGTTAGGGGCAGAGTCAGGGTTCAGGATCACTGTCCCTTGCTTGGTTCCAAAGGCAAGTCATTGCACTCGGAGTGACATCAGTTACTGCACTCCCTCCCTTTGATGGACAAGATCCTGGAGCTGACTAACTCTGTAGCACCAAAAGCAGTTTACAGATTTTGAGAATCTAGAACAGGAGGAATTGTTGTCCCAGTCTCTGTTGATGAGACATTCACCAGCCATGTGGAAACACTTCTGCTTGCTCAACCACTATACCTCTGAAATATTTTAAAATTCCAAGCTATGTCTTCCCACATACTAAACACGGATTCAGCAAACTATCCTCTGTAGCGTCCTCATATCACAGTTGAAAGGGCGTCAGGGGTTCTGAATTTGCGAACCAGGAGCAGCAGCACTTCATCAGGGCTTCGGGAAGGTCCCTGAGGAAGGGGAGGTATCCCTACTTTTCTTTCTTCCCTTCTGTGTAAGCTCCCCAAACACTTTTTTCAGACACCCGGATAGTCTACTTACGTGTTGCATTTAATGCAGATCACATTAAATTCTCTTGTTAGAAGAACTTGCAAGGAGGGAGAGCTAATTTCTTCTCCTGCCTGATATTCAGCTCAAATGTCATCTCAAGAAGCCTCACTCATTCCACACCTCAGGTCCCTGCCATGTGTACACCTTATGTATACCTCTATCAAATGGAACTATAACTGTCCTACCAGATACCAACTACTCCAGGGAATGGCTCTGTCTTATTTCTGTGACCCCGAGGAGCCCAGAATGGCACCTGGAAAAGAGTATTCACCCAGAAATTGTTAAATGAATGAATGAATGAGTGGATGAATAGTGTGTGTTAGTTGCTCAGTCGTGTCCGACTCTTTGCTACCCAAAGCACTACAGTCCACCAGATTCCTTTGTCCATGGGATTCTTCAGGCAAGAATACTGGAGTGGGTTGCCATTCCCTTGTTCAGGGGATCTTCCCGACCCAGGTATCGGACCACCATCTCCTGCATTGTAGGCAGATTCTTTACTTTCTGACCCACCAGGGAAGCCTGAGTGGATGAATAAAGGATCACAACTGAAAAGTTATTACTAAGTACATTTTTCTGGTGAATAGAAAGAATCCATACTAGTTTTGTACAACTTATAATCAAATTTTTTGGTATCACAATGTCTAGGATTTTCTAAATCCTTATGAAATGAATAGTAAAGAGCCTGAACTGCATTAGAAATAGTAGATTGAATCATCAGCTCCCTAATAGAATTAAGAGTTAAGATGTGAATAAATTCCTTCTCACTTCTGACACTATGTGCTTGGAATTTTAAAGTTATTTTGAAATATATATAAAAGAGTATGTGTTACATTTATGTATGATTTAAGGTACAATACTTGTATAAAGAATAATAATAAAAAACCCTCATGAACCTCCTACCTAGCTTAAGAAATAATGGACTATGGTCTTTACCAACCTGGAGATGAAACGTGAACATATGGTTATGTTTTCATTATAAGTACAGCTTGTGAAAATTTTACGTTGTGTTTAGAGAACATGATTAACATTAGCAAAATATATAGTCATTTAAGATTAGGACTTGAAGAGCCGATTTAAGGCTCTGGTAATCTCCATGACATCTCTCATATCTCATGCTTTATCTCCTTGCTTTCCTGGTGTTGGATTCCTCTCAGTTGTGTGCATGTGTGTGTGTGTTTAGACCACTAATCCAGCATTTTACCTGAACTGTATACCTGCATATATCTAATTATCTGATAGACATCTATATTCCCTTCTCCAGGGGATCTTCTTGGTCCAGGAATTGAAGCCAGCTCTCCCACATTGCAGGCAGATTCTTTATAGGGAAGCCTTTATGTATGGTACAGGTTCTCAAACTCAATGGAACCAAAAACTAGAGTGCGTATATTCTCTCCTATACATCTTGTAACTTAATATTTCCCTTTCCTAGTCCAGGCATTAACTCTCCCACTCTATACATTTGGGGTTATCATGACTTTTTTTTCTCTTTTAGCACTGCACTGTAACATGCACTCTCATAACTAGCTTTTCTATTCATTGTTTCTTTCTTTCTAAGACATTGTACACAAAATTTCCAGGATTTTTTCAAAAAACAAATCTCTATTCAGTCACTTCTTTGTTTAAACAATAAACGACAAATACATTGATGCTCCTCTGCGACCTGTGATCTGAAGAGACCAGGGTCCTATGGTGTTAACTCAGGAGCCATCAGAACAGAAATTCCATGAGCAAAGGTACAGTTTCCTAACCTCAGACTCCACAGTCGCCCAAGAATGTTTACCTGGGTCTTGGTACCAGAGAAAGCAGTGAGGAAGAGATGCTCTTCTGCATGGGAAGGAGAGACCATGGTTGGTGAGCACCATGGACTTATCACTGGGTCACCCCCACCACATCCCAACGGGTATATATTTGCCGATATACTACTTTTCTTTGTTCTAGAAAATCTAGCCTCAATCTTATATGAAATGTCCAGAACCTTCTCCATGCTCAAATTTAGCAGAAGTCTATTCACTCTGCATGCTTGAAACAACTTAGAGGTACCAAACGGATTCTGCAAAGAAGTCAAAGTATCTTTGAGGGGCTTTGTGTGAATGAATTTTTAATTTATAATTATATAATTGAACTGTGAGTGCCATAACCAACTTGACCATGCCCCAGTTACAGGTAAAAACACCTGTAGTGGCCCCTTGGACTTTTAGAAGTTCCTACGGGTTACTGGAAAGTTTCATGTGCCCCAGCTACATATATGCCTCTAAGGGAAGAAGGACCCCGATGACTATCTCTGTTTAGGAGAGTTTCCAAAAGAAAATGGAGGCTTCCATCAGGTAAGCTTTTTGGCCAGCCCTGCTGGCACGCCAGACAGACCAGATGGGAAACCAGACGTCGTGAAGTTTTGTGGCTCTTGACTGGATCTGCTCTTCACCACTTGGTATCACGCTATGGGTTTTGTTTCATTTTTTCTAACACAGTGGATCCTGTTGTCTCCCAGTCTTGCATTTTATTCAAGATACAATTGTATTAGGAAGTGTGAGGGTTGGTAAAAACCTGGGTTAAAGTCATACTCTTTTATTTTTCCAAGTCATAAGAGTAATTGTAGAGCTAAAGCAAAAATAATCAAGTCTATTTTTTTTTCTCTTTTGACATTTATTTTTGGCTGTGCTGGGTCTTTGCTGCTGTGTGTGGGCTTCCTCTAGTCGCAGTGAGTGGGGTCTACTCTTCAGTTGTGGTCCACAGGCTTCTAACTGCAGTGACTCATCGATTGCAAAGCACATGCTCTTGGGCACGTGGGCTTCAGTAGTTGTGATATATGGGCTGAGTTGCCCTAAGGCATGTAGAATCTTCTTGGATGAGGGATCAAACCCATGTTTCCTGCATTGGCAGGCAGATCCTTAGCCACTGGACCACTGAGGAAGTCCAATAGTCAACTTTAGATTCAGAATACATGCCAGGTCACCATCAACTCTCAAGGCACTCTGCTACATATTTGCTATCTGGCACCGGATGATCTATTTAATATTCTTGAACTTCAGTGTTCTCATCTCTAAAAGGGACATGATATGATCTGCATTTGGGGCTGTGGTGAGCACATAGGACACCATGATAGCAGGTGTAAACACTGTGTGTGTTATACATGCCGGTTACTATCCCTGTGATGGCAACTCACCAACAATGGACCCAAAGTGAGCATCACTCAGCTTGTGCCTGATTGCCAGGCTCCTGCTTTCTGTCTGGGCCATATCCAAGGAAAGGCAATGCCTTGAAGGCGGACTCCATGTGATACCACCTCTGGGTCTGCCATATTTAGATGGCACACAAACTGAAGCCTTACTGAGGGATTATTTTGCTCAGTAAATGTAATTAAAAGCCAACTCTGAGTGGTTTTCCAATTACAAATATAACTTAGTTTGATTCAACAACTATTCACTGAACATTAGATATTATGTGTATCAAAATTTTAAAAGGGCAAAGTTTCTTAGGTCAGGAAGATAAACACATAAATAATATCTTAACAGAGTGATAAATACTAAGTGTACAAGCAAAGGGCTATAAGGACCCAGAGGAGAACAGTATAAGCACTTTTGCTCAGTCAGTGGATGAATTTAGTGGAAGTCATATGGAAGAGACAGCATTGGACTAGGACCCTGTAAGAAGAGATTGTGTTTCCCAGGTAGAAAAGTGGAGTGGGGGGGGAATTATAGGCAGAGATAATAGCACCTAAAGTATCAACCAAGGTGTTTTGATTAGTTCTGGTTGTCACTCCTTACTACCCATTTCACTTTGGGTAAATTACTAGACCTATCATTTAGTTTCCTTGTGTGGAAATCAATTCTAATAATATTCTTGATAGAGAATAGAGATATAATATTCTTGATAGAGAATATATCAAAAAGTTCTTGATAGAGATAAATGATATTATGGAATTTCACTAATGGCATGCTGGATATACAGAAGATACTCTGTATATTTCAGACTTATTTGTGGAACACAAAGAACTTGGCGAGGGCAGCACAGTCCAGCATCTTAATGAAGGTCCCCAAAGTTCACATCCCTGGGAAACAGTGTGGGCTAACTATGGAGACTGTGAGTGTGGCCATGGCCATGTTTTGCTGTTGTGTATTTGTTTCTCACGAAGGCCATCAAACTGAATTACTGGGTCCTCTCCCCAGAGGACTATTCCATTCTTGTCACTAAGAACTGTCACATCTCCCAGAGCCAAGATTATGGATTCAACCGCTGGAGTGGTCATAACTTTCTCAGCAAACACATCAGCTATGACAGTGTTGGTGTCGCTGGCCGCACAGTTGGGAAAGCTCTCCAGTGAACAATCATCCACCTGGGTTAAGGTTTCACGTGACTGTGGTTAGACTGGGCTTTCCTGGTGGTTCAGATGGTAAAGAATCCACCTGGAATGCAGGAGACCTGGGTTCAGTCCCTGGGTTGGGAAGATCCCCTGGAGAAGGGAATGGGTACGACTCCTGTATTCTGGCCTGGAGAATTCCACGGATAGAGGAGCCTGAAAGGCTGCAGTGCATGGAGATGCAGAGTCCGACATGACTGAGTGACTTTCACTTAATGGTTATGTTAATGAAGTCAAAGTCCCAGAGGAATGAATTATGCATAACTGTTTCCAAATAGTTTGTCCAAACTTCTATCTTAGACTCACCCCTCCCCTCAACTGATCTTTGTCCTGTGTATTCAGTTCATGACTGTACCCCCGACCCCACAAATAACCATCCAGGAGAAAACAGATGAAATAAACACCTCCCATCAGGTACCTGATGGAAAACAGCAAACTGCTCCTGTTCCCTGCACAGTTAGCTTTATTTTTAAGTTCTCCTGAACAGTAAGAGAGCCACAGCACAAACTTCCCAAACTCACAGTATTAAGTTACTGTTAGTAGTGCTGCCTTCAGACAACTGCGCTGTGGACTGACCCTCGTGCTTGTGGTTTTGTTTTTAAACTCCAAGCTCAGTTCAGGAGCAATAAGTTTAGCCACCTGAAACAACAACATTGGCCTAATCTAGAATGATCTATTTCCCCAGCAAAGATTGGTTTCTGTGTTATTTTTATTTTTCAAGGGAGTTAACATTTAACTGGCACATTAGCCCTGTCCATCTCCCTGAATAGGTCTGTCTGTTTCAGCGTGTTCTCCCGCCCTGCCAAGGAGCCCCGCTTTCTTCGAGATTCAGGAAGCTCTAAATATTAATGAGGGCCAAAGACCCATGCATTTGGTGACTCCTTCTCCGCCACCCACTCCATTAAACACAATTTCCGAAGGCATTTCACAACTTGGAAAAGCTGATCGGAAAAAGTGTGGCACCGTTACAATTGTGCAGGACGCTATTTTTGAAAATGTCACTTACGCAGAAGGAACCGGTGGCCTGATGGGTGTCCTGCTGGGGGTTAATACGAAGCAGCTCAGAAGATTTGTAGATAAAAGTGGTGTTAGCAGTGTGGGCCCCCAGTCAGCAGCATCCCCCTGCATGAGAAATGTAGAAATGCATTTAGAAGTGCAAAGGTAACAGATTTGCAGAGTCAGAAATTCATCAGAAATTATAGGAAAGGCCAGCTATCCCATGTCTTGACAACCAAACACTGGGGTGGACCTCGTCTGCTTATCTTGTTAGAACCATCATAATAAGCGTTAGACAAACATAAGGGCCCTTCAGGGACTTTGGGATTGGGGCTATAGTCCTGGATTCTATACCAGTTCAGCCATTGATTAGATATTTATCTTAGGCATGTTTTGTCAAGTATATCAGCCTCACTGTCTTCATTTGTCAAAAGGTAGAAGGAATATAATCTGCTCTGTTTAATTCCTTGAGTTAATCATTGCTTATGGTGTTCATCATATATTGAATAAATATTGGTCAGGGGCTTTACAACCTTGAGAGGGCTTCACATGGTGTCAAAGCCTTACTGCAAAGATTTCCTAGTTATGAGTCTCACGTGCTATGTTGGGACACCTGAAACACAGGACAATCTGAGCACAGTGCAATATCCTTATGTCTTATCAGTGACACAACAAAAAGCATGCATCTCAAGTCCTTCTTAGATGCACACCTGAAGGCAGTGTTCCAGTGGAAACTGAGGAGACTTGGAAGATGATATAAATAAGCGCGTGCTTCCTGGAGGCACAAGATAGCAAAGTGAGCTCACTAACAGCAGAGCTGAAAGCTTCTAGAGCAAGAAGCATGCATGAGTGTGTATAAAGGCCTGCACGTGTGTGCGTGAGCCTATGTGTTCGTGTGTAAAAGGGGGGGGGGCGAACAGGAGATAAAGGAAGGGGAAGGAGATACACAGAGAGACAAAAACAGATAAAGTCTGAGACTGAGAGAGAAACTGAGAGACAGAGAGACTGAGTGAGAGAGAAATAGGTTAGGAAAAGGAGGAGGAAGGAGAGGAGGCGGCAGATGATAAAGTAAGAAGGCAGAAACATTTTTATGGCATCTTACAGTTTTCATATGATTCTCAGCAGCGGCGCCACCCTGTTCCTACCTGCAGGATATTTTACCAAATGCTTCACTCCACCCAGCCCTGCTACAAAGCCCTGCTGAGTTGACACAGGAGGAATCTGAGGCCCAGGGAACAGAGTTACCTCTCTCACGGGTTCTGGCATGAGAAGAAGCTAAAGCAGGAACCCGAGGGCTGGCCACAGGGCTGAGGACAAGCAGAGGGCACCTGGTGCCCAGGCCTCCCTCTAAGGACTGCCTGCCAAGCTCCAGGCCTCCTGAACCAGGACGGGTCAGGGCACATGCAAGAAGTCAAGGAGAGTTTTTATTTCTTCCCCTCCATCTGCATGTATTCTTACTGAAACAATAATAGAGCAGTGAAGCTACCTAAATAAAAAATCCTCCCTATTGCCATCACCTTCAATAGATAACATTTTTGCACAACTTCCTTTTACCTCTTTCCCACAACTGTTTTTCACACAGTGGTAATCATCGCACAGACATCCTTTTGCCCCATTGCTTTTTCCTTTATTACAGCATGCTAAACAAAGCGACTTGTTGCTATGGTGTTTCCACAATGTTCATTTTAATAGCTACATAATATTTTATTCAAGGAACACACCATAAATTATTGAACCGTTTCTCTGTTGTTTTCTCAGTGAAGTTCCCACTTTGCAATAAAATATTCATGTAAATATATATAATAATTCACTCCATTTGTACTATGCCTTTCAGTACTTGGCTCATGCATATGTCGTTTTACAGTTCGATAGAATTTGGAAGGTAAGTCCACTGTTTTTAATAGGATGCTTGTGGTTATCTTAAGACATTCCAGCAAACATTCCGAATACTGTGATCTTCTATTTATACCCCTCTAGTCAAACACGCCAACACTGGGCTCCCTTTTAAGGATTTTTGTGCACTTGGACTCCTCCCCCACTCCTTCTCTGTTCCCCTTCTTGACTAATTTAGTCTGGGATGGGGGGAAGGAGAGAGAGAGCAGTGGTCTAAATTCATTCCCCCCCCCCTCCAAAAAAAAGAGGGGGAAAAAAAAAGAAACTTACTGCTTGTGATTTGTTTCTAATCCAACCATTTAATGAGTTAGATTGCCAGAGCTTTCTTTCTCTCTTCCTCACTAAGCCTTCTTCTCTTCTTGCTGTAATAATTGTCTAGCTCATCCCTTCCTTTTTAAATTTAGTACCTGATTTCATCCCTCAGATAAGTATGCGCCTCAGCAATGTTCCCTTCTGTTCTCATTATTAATAGGTTTGGGGACACTTGGGAGTTTCTGGAAGAAAAGATCACAGCAGACCAGCATGGAAGGTAATTATGCAGCCAGCAATGGGGGCCTCCTTCCTTATTTTGATCACCATTAAATGAGCTGGTTGACAGCCCACTGTTTAACCTTCTCTTTTGAAAACATACATGCATACATTAAGGGCAGTGCCCTCACCTCTAGCTTCATTTAATTTTACTGTCAATAATATTACCTTTACAAGGCTTGGATCTGATATCTTCTTACTGGATGTTATTTATTGTATTTAGAGTATGCTTCAACTTTCTTTTTGAAAGACATGGAAAATATGTGAGTGAATTTCTACATGATTAAATACACATAGATTCGAAAGCAAAAAAAAAAAAAAAAAATCACAAAAAGACATTCTCTGATGTGCCACATCCTTTCTAAAGCCATTTGAGCAGAGGGTCATAGCAATTATTACTCATGTTACCCAAACCCTAGTCCATGGTATACTGGTTGGAAGTCCCGCTTCTGATCCTTACTCCCTGGAAATGGGGTTCCCTAAGGGAGTATCAGCTAGCCCAGTCCTTGGAATCACTACTAAAAAATCTACCTTAAATGTCAACTTCATGTTGAATACAAAGGGACTGATACTTTTTATGCCTCCTAACCAGAGGAGGATGGTAGAATTGAGGATTTTTTTTTCTCATTTAGGCAGCAGAGACTGGCTAGTTATTTACCAATTTCACTTCCTTTTCCTCCTGAACACACAGCAAAGAGGCATTTCCAGTGGAGCCCTGGCTCCAATGGTGGTTTGTGTGCAGAAATGATGCCACCTTCATCCTGGTCCCCAGACCACTGCTATACTACATATCATTTCCTATACTCTTTCTGTCTTTTCCAGCTTCATACAGATGGCTCTTGACAGCAGACCAGGTTTCAGAAAGTCCTCTCTACTAGCGAGGAACATAAATTTGGGGATTTATGTGAACCAAAAAATAAATTTCTATCATGCTGTTCTGTTTGTTCTTTTTCTCTTTAGTTTGTTACAAGTAGTGATACTCTAAACACACACACACACACACACACACACACACACACACATACCATCAACACAATAGCTTAAATGAGTCTCTTCATGAATCCTAGATAATTTATTATCATTTTTATTCAAATTCAGGCCCATCTGATGTTGTAAAAAGCTGCATAAGTGCTTTTTAGGACCTGAAGTGCAGAATTTGAGTCACTTATTTCAGGTTCTGCTACTAATTGCTCACGGTAACTTTTATTTTTTCTTTTGAATGATTGTATAAGTGCCATTATATACAGTAAAGCGAAGAGGTCTGTAGGCTTTCCAGTGCCTTTCCATCTTCCCAGGGGCCCTTTAAAATTATCATTTAAAATACAAGACAATTCAATGAAATGATGTGATGCTTCCATGAACTCAGGGAACCAATGAGAGTAGAGTTTTATATGAGATTTGCAAGCAAATGAATGCTTCCCAGAGTCAGAACAACGCATTTTAATTGAATTATTGCATTGACCATGTATCTTATTTTCTTTCAGTTTTTCACTATCTCCCTGGCAAGTTCAGCCAAAGCATTCTTCTTCTTCTTCTTTTTTTAAGTTACAAGTCTGGCTTTAAAAAAATGTGTATTTCTAGTTTGACATAGCATGACCTTTTCTTTCATTTGTCATGCATAAATGTAGCAGTTTATTTTCTTTGGAATCACTATATAAATCTTCACTTTTTGCTTGTGCTGGTGGCGTGCGTGCACACACATGCTCACCCATGTGTCTGTGGTGAGGAATTCTGTGAGTGTGATGCTTTCCCCACGAGTGCAGAGAGTGGCTGATGGGAGTTGATGAGGTGTGTGTTTTCCTCAGGGTTACCGACCACCAAAAGATGCTGGGAGAGGGGAGCCAGTGAATTTGTGGGTGTTGAGCTGTTGGATATTCTGGATGCAGATTTTTTTTTAATTTGCAGTTTAATAAAACCCAGCTGACACTGAGTCTTTTTTGTAAATCATGTTTATGAGATATGAGTCAGTGATGACATGTCCTTAAGCTATTCCAGTGAAAGGAAAGCCTCTCAGAAAAGCGACCGTTGGTTTTGTGGGAAACTTGGCCAAGCATGTTGCTCTAGGCTCCTTTCTTCATTTCAGTGAAACCAGGACATCTTCAGAGTAAGTTCCAAGGTGGATTTTTTTTTTTTCTGTTAGAAAGTGAAGTCAGAGACCAGTTTTGTTTTTCCATCGTCATTCTGACCATCTGAACTGTCAAAGCAAGGACTTGACGCTGAGCCATCATCTTGAGGATGAAGCGAGTGCTGTAGTCAGTGGATCTTTATGTAGGTGGCTTGTTGTTTTTTTCTTATTTGAAGCATTTGAAAGTCATTCCTGAAAGTGGTTCTGTATCATGAAAGAAATCTTGTACCACCATCTAATTCCTGCCATCAAAGGTGATGCCATTGTCCTTTAATGGTTTTATTGTGGTGGAAATATCTATGGAATTATGAAGCAAAGGAAATGGTAAATCATCCCCACATTCTTCATATAAGCTGAGCATTTCACTGGAAGAAAAGTACTGTAGGCATTTCACTTTGAGGAAGACAATACACCCTCTATACATTGAAACCCTTCTTTTTAGTGTTTAAAAATCTCTTATTTCCTTAGGAACTGGAAACAAAGTTAGTTTTCTCTTTGGATCTGAAAATATAGAGTGACAAACACAACACAGGCTTATGAAAATCAATGATGTTCAAATAGGGTCTCTTTAAAAAAATTGACCTGTGTGTTGTAAGGCCAAACTTGACTCATTTGCCACCTAACTTTTGTCATGATTAACTTCCCTGGTGGCTCAGTGGTAAAGAATCCACCTGCCAGTGCAGGAAATGCAGATTCAATTCCTGATCTGGGAAGACCCCCTGGAGAAGGAAATGGCAACACCTCTAGTGTTCTTGCCTTGGAAGTCCTATGGCAGAGGAGCCTGGTGGGCCACAGTCCATGAGGTCGCAAAGAGTCAAACGCAGCTAAGTAACTGAACAGCAACAACAACATCAAAAGATTGCATATGGCTTCACACTAACAGGCTAACCAGCACTAGAACAATAGGACTCACGGGCTCAAACATATCTTCAATAATCATGCCTAGAATCAAGGTTTTAAAAAGGTAGAGCTACTTTCAGGAAGTAGATTGAAGACCCCTTAACCAATTAAGCTGGATAGAGTTCCTGGGTGGGGAAGATCCCCTGGAGAAAGGAATGGCAACCCACTCCAATATTCTTGCCTGGACAACACTAAGGACAGTGGAGTCTTGGGGGCTCCAGTCCATGGGGTTGCAAAAAAGTCAGACACAACTGAGAGGCTAACACTTTCTTCCCACCAATTAAATTGACTCATATTTTCTTTTTCACACTTGTGTAAGTGGTATAATCTTAAAAACAATGTCTCACATATCTAAAAAATCCTTGTGATAAATATAAAATACAAACTTTCTATGATAAAAAGCATTGTGCCACAGTTAAATCACCAGAAAATAACTAAATGCTTTTTCTTTTTTAGGTGTACTTAAAATTGGAACATTGGATTTTTCAAAGTACGGTAGTAAGCAAAGAAAGAACAGGGTGAGCAATAATTTAAAAAGTGTGAAAGATGTTTTTAAACAAAGTTTACATAGTTCATACCATGCACAGATCCAGTGATCCGATTAAAATACACAGAAGTTGTGTAAAAAACAGTAGAAAGAACTTTGCAAAGAAGTGAGACTGTGGATAGTTTTAATAGCATGGCAATAATGAGTACTTTGCAAAAGGCCCTTTTCATTGAACTATAGTTGATTTACAATTTTGTGTTACAGCAAAATGATTCATATATTTATATATGAATATGTATATGTGTGTATATATATATGTATATATAAGTGTGTATATATTTTGTAAAGGACCTTCTAAGATGTACTAGGTGAGTACAAAGATGGATAATTTCCAGCTTGACTTGATTCAATTCAGTTCAATCACTCAGTCGTGTCCAACTCTTTGCAAGCCCATGGAACTGCAGCACACCAGGCTTCCCTGTTCATTACCAAAAACCTGGAGCCTACTCAAACTCATGTCCATCAATTCAGTGATGCCATCCAACCATCTCATCCTCTGTTGTCGCATTCTCTTCCTACTACCTTCAAACTTTCCCAGCATAAGGGTCTTTTCCAATGAGTCAGGTCTTCACATCAGGTGGCCAGAGTAGTGGAGTTTCAGCGTCAGCATCAGTCCTTCCAATGAATATTCAGGACTGATTTCCTTTAGGACTGACTAGTTGGATCTCCTTGCAGTCCAAGAGACTCTAAAGAGACGTCTCCAACACTACAGCTCAAAAACATCAATTCTTTGGTGCTCACTTTTCTTTATAGTCCAACTCTCACATCCATACATGACTACTGGAAAAACCATAGCTTTGACTAGATGGAACTTTATTTTAATTTTTTTTTCATTTATTTTATTAGTTGGAGGCTAATTACCTTACAATATTGAAGTGGGTTTTGTCATACATTGACATGAATCAGCCATGGAGTTACATGTATTCCCCATCCTGATCCCCCCTCCCACCTCCCTCTCCACCCGATCCCTCTGGGTCTTCCCAGTGCACCAGGCCCGAGCACTTCTCTCATGCATCCAACCTCGGCTGGTGATCTGTTTCACTATAGATAATATACATGTTTTGATGTTGTTCTCTCAAAACATCCCACCCTCGCCTTCTCCCACAGAGTCCAAAAGTCTGTTCTGTACATCTGTGTCTCTTTTTCTGTTTTGCATATAGGGTTATCGTTA